TTGTTGTCTTAGCCTACTTCCAACTCCTTAAAAGCACTGAGTATATGCTTTGTTCCTCCAGAAACACTAACAACGAATAGCCGTTGACTCTGCTGAATGGATATCTTGATAGAATTCCAATATGCATTGTTTATTTCCAACGGATTTGTTGTCATACTTTAAGCACTAATAAATCTGACCGTTATTTCTGCTTTTCTACAGTTTGATTCATTTAAAACTAACAATAGGAAGAAATGGACGTATATTTGAGTTGTTCCATCGTACGATTTACTCGCAAGTCCTTTTGTCTTCCTTTCTAGACCAAAGAGAAAGAGGAGAAGAAACACATCAGTATAGTCGAGGCTGCTCTGATGGAGATGGAGAATGCGACATTGGATCTCACTTTTTCTGGTGCCACAAGTGCCATCATCAGCGACGACATGCTAAAAGATGTGAATGCGGTTCTGTTTCTCTTCTGATTATTCAAATTTCCCTCGTATCTTCAATCCTCCTTTTTTCCTGTTATAGTTAACACGCTGTTTGCCAGCGAGTCGACTCGGCAGTTCAATGAACTTGATCTATTCTACAGAGAAGGATGGATTCAGCCTGAATGCTCTCTACCGAAAGACTAGAAATGTCGACGATATTAGTGTCCTCTTGATTCGCGATCAAGGGGGTACAGTGTTTGGTGCTCTGCTTTCAGAGAAAATGCGCTGTTCTCCGCGGTTCTATGGAACTGGAGAAAGTTGTGTTTTCCATTGGCGAAACGGTTTCAAGGTGAGTAATCAGAGCTAATTTCCTTCATTGATTACTTACTTGCTCTGCATATTCAGCTCTCCTAAAAGCCCTACTCATGATCAGTAAAATTGTGCAAGATCACGTTCTCAATAAAAATTCAAGAATGCATATATAGAGAGAAATTAATTGAAGGTCGAAATGTCTTAAGAGGTGAAGGGTCTAAAGGTGTGACTTTAAACCTCCATTTCATCAAGGTGTTGTTTTTTTTGCTTAAGTGGAAAATTACTCCGGGGTCACTGGGTTCGTGGAATGTGTTTGCGCCTGCACAGTAATGCCACGGTGCTGCAAACCGTCTTTCGAGGTAGCGTGTGCTCAATGAGTTGGGGTGTACTTAACTTCTGCGCATGAAATCATTTAATCATCATCAATTGCCATCTTGTAATAACGCCGCGAAAGAGAGTTGCTTAGCACAATAATTGGGAAGTTTGCTATGAATATTCGAAAAACCCTTGGAGAAAACAGACTCCATAATATCCATTCCTTCTAAGGCAACGAGGAAGTTATTTTTATCAAATGGCCGGCGTCTTGTTGGTTATCATTAGCCCTTTAGTTGACTTCAGACTTCACAGAGGGGAAGAAACATCAAATTGAAAAAAAAGTCGAGAGACGGGGGGGGGGGGAGAAACAGAAGAGAGTTTCAAAGATGTAAGAGACAAACACAACGGTAGAAAAAAGGTGAGGTGAGTACTGTGGGAATAGTCGAATATGACATAGAGTGAGGTGATGATAGTTTGAAGTGAGAAGTCAACTGCCAGTTAATAGACTTTCTTGCCCAGGGTGCACCGCGTGGAGGTAGGTCTATTGCGCACCCCAATTATCACAAAAAATCCTCATTTAGGCAGTTGTCATAACTAAATATTACCTTTATCATTATTTTGTTAGCATTATAATTATTTCTCCTCAAATTGAGTCTATCGCAAACCTCGACAACGAGGAAGTGATTATGGGTATTATTAATTGAACACTGTCATGCTTTAAAGCAACCTAATGCTACAAGGCTAATGATTCTGTGGGATTTGAACTTGGGTTATTTCACACATACCCTTTCTATTGCTTTAGAAAGTCTCAACTCGGTAGTAAGTCTATTTGAATTGAATGAAAATTTTTGATGATGAAAAAAGCTCAATTTCACCAGATGCCTTTCAAACTGAAGAGAAAATTCTACGACACTAGAGGTAGGGGGCTATGGACGTCGCATTTCACCTTTTATTCTCCTACTAACGACTATGCTATTGAAAAATATGTTGCTACCGTTTGCCTTTCATAACTGCAGCACATTTCACAATGCGTGTGTATTCCCCCTCTAGGTCTACAATTGGACAAGAAAGAATCACTACTTTATGCAAGGATCTCGAGATAGCTTCCTTATTGGAGTTAAAAAGTACGTTTGACCTCTGCGTAATTGCCATTTTCAGTTGAAGTATATCTGAATGAATCTCAGTCTATGTATTACCTGTTTTTGAATTTGTATTTTGCGCTCCTTGTAGTGGCCACAGCGCAATTTGGTTTGATGGAGATTTGAAGTATGGACGAAGTGAAGCAACGGACACCTTCGACAATCCTGTTCTCTGTACCCTGCCCAAGCCTCACATCAGTCCGAATCGCAACTCCTCTACTACAACATGGGCCAATTCCATTCCCTCAAGCCCCTCCTACGGTTCCTTGGGAGACACTGGTGAACCCACTAGTGTCGCTTTTGTCATAACCACGCTAGAACTTTGGGAAATAGTGTCCTGATTAAGCTGTTATAATTCTATTAATTCATCCTCCCCCCCCCACCCCCCCCCTCCTCCTCTCTGATGTATTTGATTAATTTAATCCCATTTCCATTCTACTGTGTTATATATAGAAATGAGCGAAATAGCAAAACAGAGGCTTTCTATTAGTAGAATTCTGCTACATTAGTCTCGGACGCTTATCCGGGGGAGCGTCTGTAGGGGCCTGTCAGGTAAAGAATAAATTGGTAGATAAGAAACCCAGCGCACTTGAAAGCATTTAAGTAGATAGACTTACAGAGGGAGTCTGGGAAGATGGCATAGTCTGGAGTTGCATTGGAGGGAATCTACTGGCCCATTCATTGAGAAGGAAATCCGTTCGATTAACCTGATAAGGATTTGTTGCAATAAAATCGGCCGGCTTCTTTTTTACTACTTTTAATGTCTCAGTTGTTTCAACTTCAGGGTTTTGCCACGAGTACGAACCATCTGAAGGATGAAATCGGGCACAAGGTGCTAATTCTTGAATGATTTTATTCAAATTTGCAGTGATTGAGTGAATACGAGAGTTAATCAAGGTACCGAGATCTGGACATTGACGTACAACTCCGTTGATTACGTAGTAGTATGCCAGGGGCATGACTTCGGATGGAGATATGCGATCCTGTTTACGAATAACAAACAAAGAAGGCTCCTGATAATAACATAAACAGTATTCAATTCCGAACAGAGAAGCTAAACGATCAAGACCAAGACCTTGCATACGAACAACTTCATTATTGGATTCACGATCATAAAAGGGGTTAGACAGGTTAGAGAAATATTGAAGAACATTTGATGCGTTTAGTTGATGGGCAGGAAAGACAGGATCCTGCCATAAAATTTCGTAAGGTGAAGGTTCATTATTCTTAGATGAATCCATTACCTACTGCTTCTGGAGTTGACGAAGTGCCTCCTTGCTCTTATTATTAAAGTACTGATACTTAGCTTGTAGGTATTTAATTCTCAAAATGTGTGTGTAGTATCCAGCAACAAAACCAACACTGAAAGTTAGAATATAGCAAATAGTGGTGGCCTTCATATATGATAGCAGAGGCCTGACACGTCTAGGCTGAAAATGTACTCAGAATGAGTAAGCATCATCATGGAACCTAGAATTTTAGTAATACTCAATCAGTTGGCTTACATTTATTACTTTTAAATTTAATGCAATTTAATAAAATATTAAAATTCTGATGTTATGAAATAAAAAATATATTATTAAGCTTTCTTCTCTAAATAGTCAGGAAAATTTTCTTCATCTTAATCAGATATGATTAAAATTCATTATTTTTGAAATTTTTTCAGGATCGATCATTTTATCGAGTTAGACCATATAACGAATTTTTTATTTTGACGGTGAAATTTCGTTTTTTATCACTGAAGATGCATTTAAACTGCTGCAAAATGTTGTGCATAAAATATATAAGTTTTCTTGATCTTTACTATATTTTACCTCAAAGGCTAATATATATATATATATATATATATATATATATTGAATAGTATAGACTTCAGCATAGTAATCGATCATTACTTATATCATTTTTTTAAATCTTCCCAATCACTTATTTTAAAAACGGCAGTATTGAAAATAAGAATATTGCATCAATATATAAGATATAGTAAACTCGATATTGTAGAAATTAAAACATGAATGGGACATGAAATTAGGATGTTTGGATAGAACTGGACCTGCATCAAGCCCTATAACAGATTTCCTCCCCTGCAAAAATCTGTCGTAGAAAATAAAGCTCCAACATCTTTTTTTTCTATGTTCCTCTACGAGATCTTTTAAAAACTGTATCTCTTCCAGTATGAGCTATTGACGGGGGGCAAGAATTCAGGCAAGCTTTCGACTGACAGTGGACACCCACCATATCCAAATTACTATTATATATATTATATATTTGCCGAGTAAATAGAGCGGATGAGCGAGAAAAATTTTCTTGAGAGAGAGGTGCGTGTTCAGGATTACACAGGTAATAAGAACGAGTCAACACAAAAGAGTCTTGTTGAAATTGATAATACATACTCGCCAACTGCATTTTGACAAAAGGGAAAGTTGAATGCGGCGAGATAACAGTGAATTCAAGTAATTATCAACAGCAAAAATAATTACAAGCAAATGAGTTGAAAAAAAATAAAACATGTTTTTAGTGAGACAAATTTGATCAACATTTAAAGAGAAAATCCTCCGGTGCCCCAGTTATTTAAAACCAGGGTTGCTTTCGCGCATTGCATTTCCTAGTTTTAAATCGCGGAAGTATGTTTGTTTTTTCGCCTAAGTCTTCAAAGAAAGCCTGATTGGAGCGAATGCTTATTTCAAGTAACTCAGAGTCCATTGCTTGAAGAAAACAGCGGGACATCATTTTTGTGTGCATGCTAATGACACCATGGAAAAATAGCCTGGTTGAGCACAACCATTGCTACATTCCTTGCAAAGGGGAGTGGGATAGACCCTGGGCAACGTATATTCAAACGGCAAAAAAGTCTATTAACTGGCAGCTGATTTCTCACTTCAAACTACCAACACCCCACTCTATGCCATATTCGACTATTTCCACAGTACTCAACCTCACCTTTGTTCTACCTTTGTGTTTGTCTCTTACATGTTTGAAACACTCTTCTGTTCCCCTCCCCATCTCGACTTTTTTAATTTGATGTTCCTCCTCCTCTCTGTGAAGCCTGAAGTCAACTAAAGGGCTAATGATAACCATCAAGTCGCCTGCCATTTGTTATAAATAAATATAAATAAATAAATACATTCCTTACGAATTTGTTTTTTAGACCAGGTTCAGTTGTTGCTCGGTTTTTTTTTGTGCTGGACTTATTAATTTCTTGTCATAAAGCAAACTGGAATTAAGCAGTGCAAGCAGTGTCTAGTAGCCTTAAAGAATCTAATCGGATGGCCCGAATTCTCGCATTCCTTTGTCTCTATCGAAAAACTTTCGCCCGAACTTTATTCATTCAAAGACCGAGAATTAGAATAGCTCGAATGATGCCAAGAATAGACGAACAATGAGTCCACTTTTTGCAAATTAGATATTATTTCAACATTATTTTTAGCTATTAATGTTTATGTAAAAAAAACAATTATGGGATTAATTACTTGTTTCACCCCAAGTGAGTTCTTATGAGCTCCACTTTCGGTGTCATTCGGCCTTTATTATAAGGAGATGAAAGGAATCATGTTGAAGATTATAGCTTATGGCAAACAAATTCCAATAATGGGTGTGACGAGAGGTCACCTTCTTCCATCGCCTGGCAAATATGAACTTTTCTCGCTGACTGAATAGAGCCTTGTCAAATGACCTAACAATGAGGACCTTAAGGTCAAGGAGGGGGAAGAATAGGAGGAAATGGAACATGTATTTTTGTTTAGCGGTTGCAGAACCAAGATCTGCTGAGTTAATTCATTTGTTGCCATTCTCTCAGTAACTAAGACTGGGATCGCAAAACACTCTCAGTGCCTATGATTTAATTACTCTAAAAACCTTTAGCAGGTTTTCTATGGTGGAGGAAAGGAGTATATATTCGGCCAACATACCCTCTATGTGACCTCCAGGAGGAAATGGAGATGGCTCTCCTGATTCGGAGTGGAAGAACATCAAAGTGAGAAAAAATTGAGGGGGGGGGGAACACCTATCACACACCCCAGGGAGGAACATTAAAGTGAGAAAAATTCGACAGGGGAAATAGAGTGATTCACAGATGTAAAAGAGACAGACAGACAGACAGACAGACAGACACAAAGGCAGAGACGAGGTAAGATGGGTATAGTGAAGTGGTAGAATATGACATACAGAGGGGTGATGGTAGTTTGAAGTAAGAAGTCAACTCCCAGTTTATTGACTTTCTTGGTGCATGAGTATACGTTGCCCAGGGTGCACCATGTGGAGATAAGTCTATCGCACACCTCTATAAATAATAATAATTATTATTATTATAATGTGGCGGGGAAAAAAACACCATGTGTAAATAAATAATTTTGAGAGAAAAAGGCTTTAAAATAATCGATGATTTATCGATTTTATTACTGAGCATAGTTTACGAGTAACTCCCAGTTGAATTATTTTCATTAAAGAAAAAGATTTAACCTCGGGCATCAGGTTTCATAGTTAATCAATCTGTTTCACTTATTCATTGTGAATTCAATAAGTATTCAAGGTGAAAGCCTCTCCTACTTGCTAATTATCTTAAATTTATTCGAATTCAGTTTCCTCTGTTAAGAACTATTCCCTTTAATAGCTAGCAATTTATTAAGTAGATACCAATTTAACCAATTCGAAGAATTGTTTATCCAGTAGACAAACTAATGGCCCTTCCAATAACGTCGATCATTTCATCTGCCAACGCTAATTTAATCAAAAGTTCCTTAGTAGTTTTACTTCAAGCGTCCACTCAAGGCATTTTAAATGCTACACCTGTTTTTTTTTGAAAAACATAAACAAGGTTTATTCATTTCGAATGGCAGGCATTTTGATAGTTATCATTAGCCCTTAGCTGACTTCGAACTTCACGGAGGGGAAAAACATCAAATTTAGAAACATTCAAGAGGGTCGACCGAAGAGTGATTTGCAGATGTAAAAGAGGCAGACACAATGGTAGGGAGTAGGGTTAGGTGAGTACTGTAGAAGTGGTCGACTATGACATACAGTGAGGTCATGGTAGTTTGAAGTGAGAAGTCAACTGCCAGTTAACAGACTTTTTAGCCGTATGAGTATACGTTGCCCAGGGTGCACCACGTGGAGGTAAGTCTATCGCACACCCCACATAAACAAGGTAGAACACAATCAAAATACATATAGCGAACATAAAGGCCATTATGGGACCATTTTAGGAGGTTATTGATGCGAAATTTTTCACAAATGCTGCTTTATAATTTTATTTTAATGCATTTGAATCGCACAGAACTTGTTGGTTTTAAATACCGACCACAATTCAGTAAAAAACACAAATTTTCGAATGTAAAAGGAGACGCCATAATTTGCACTCTATAAAAAACATAAGCAATCTTTATTTTGCAATGTTTTACGATTATTACGATGATTTTTAAATCCCCGTAAATTAGTGCTGATCGAGATTTAGCTTGAACAAATGGTGTATTGAATGGTAGTAGTAGTGGGAAATAAGGAACAAGCGAGACTAGGGAAAATCGGTTGAAAAGAGTCCCATTCAATATCCCCTATTAGAGAAAGTATCATTCGTAATTAATAGTGAGTAGAATTTGCTAGAATTACTAAGAACGGTTTGCATAGATATCTGAAGCGGGATCATGAATTTCCGGTAAGCTTGAAAATCAGATTATTGCCATTACAGTATACACTGATTTGACCTAAGGGGATAATTAACTGAAAATAGGGACTTAACTCGTCCCACAATATATTTTTATGTTGTTTTATTCAGCTATCATTATTTTTCAATTAACTTCATTTAACACTACATAGACTCAAAGAAGAGAGAAAGAGAAACCTAATTAAGGAGAAAAATTACTTTTGTAGCCTTGATAAGAGGTGATGAATGATTGGCTGCCGGATTAACCAATAGTTGCTGCGATGGCTTCTCCATGTGTGGTCATACCTAACTAGCTGTGAGGGTGTGGGAATCCAATAGTACAAAATTCAATGGGAAGGGAGAATAAGAGTACAAGTTTTCATTCGAAATTAATTAATTCTGACGTCTGTCCTTAAAAGTTTAAGAAAATAATTAATTTTTCTTAGTGGAAAAGTCATTTGATGGAGTAAGTGAAGCATCAGTCAAGACGACCTTTAGTTCTGTGGTACTATCACATTGATGTCATAGTTTTTTTTATAAATATTAGTTTTTTAATTAAATCGTTTAAAGTTTGATATTTAGGATAAAATTCTAACACCAAGCTGA